TTTGTGAAATGTAGGGGCTCTGAGAAAAGCAACTTGAGGTGGTCCCACATTCACTGCTTCACAGCAACCTCTGTCCACACGTACAGGCAGACTGAGCTTTTCTAGCTGCCAGTACTGGGATGTGAGACCACAGCTTTTCTTCCTTGGCACCACTGCCAAATATGAAAACCAAAAGTATCATACACAAAACAGGGGTTCCTTTAAGGACAGCTGCTAACTGATCTTTTGGTTTGTTCACTCTAACTAACTTAAACTTAGAATGCAATTCTGTTGTTTCAATACAGGCAGGAGCAGTATCCAGCATCCTCTCTCAGAGCTATTTTAATTCTGCAGGGCTAACAAGCAAGAAAAACAGTAAAAATTATTTCAGTCACTCAGGTCAGAAGATTAGTCAGAACACACCTAAGCAACTTAACTGCTGAGTAAGAAGGTACCTTTTTACGTACAGCTTTTCAGAGGAAAATCACTTTGTAACTTTCCTATATATTCACTGAGTCCATAGTAACATAACATCTGTAACCATAGATCAGCGGGCTTTTGGGCCCAAGAATCTGCTATTCATTATCAGTTTGTGTAACTACTGAAATGTCTCACTTGCGAGTACTTTGTAGGTCTTAACTAAGTAGTGTCACTTAGTAAACCTTGCGATTCAGTAAAGTGCAATTATCATGGAGATACTTTCTCATGGACATCTTGTTGGATGTTTCACACTGAAGGAAAAGCTGTATGAAATGAAAATGAATGTTGAACACATTCAGTTCATTCACTGGCATGCCTGCAACTTCTCTCTTCCTGAGAAAGCTCCTCCAGCCCCAGCCCAGCTGCTCTCTGGCCTCACGAGCACCCATGTTGCACAGGAGTCTGCATTTAAGCATCACTTACTTGTGGTGCTGACTCTGTCTGATCTGACTTCGCCCTCCAAGCTTTTCAGCTGGAGTTGAAGCTCCAGAACAAGATTCCCGTTCGGAGCACTTCTAAACCACAGGGAACCCATAGGAAGGGGTGCCCTTCACATAGGGCGTTTGACCTTGGGCAGACAAGCTCACGACCCTTGGGAGTAAGCCCTGCCCTGGTACCCACCTACAGCCACTACACCTGTCTGAAGGACAGAGGGAAAAGCTGGTTGCCCAGCTTTAAACCTTTGCTATAAGCTACGGGAAGAACGAGAGGCCACTTGCAGAGACCTAAAAGGTAGAGAGTTCCTACAGAAAACAGGAGACCAAATACAGCAGAAAGACTTTATTAGTGTCCTTGCAGGAGGATCTGGATAGGCTGCACCGATGGGCTGAGGTCATCTGCATGAAGTTCAACAAGGCCAAGTGCCGGGTCCTGCACCTGGGGCGCAATAACCCCAAGCAGAGCTACAGGCTGGAAGATGAGTGGTTGGAGAGCTGCCAGGCAGAGAAGGACCTGGGAGTGATGGTGGACAGTCGGCTGAATATGAGCCAGCAGTGTGCTCAGGTGGCCAAGAAGGCCAACGGCATCCTGGCTTGTATCAGAAACAGTGTGGCCAGCAGGGCTAGGGAGGTGATCGTCCCCCTGTACTCGGCTCTGGTGAGGCCGCACCTCGAGTACTGTGTTCAGTTTTGGGCCCCTCGCTACAAGAAGGACATCGAGGTGCTTGAGCGGGTCCAGAGAAGGGCGACGAAGCTGGTGAGGGGCCTGGAGAACAAGTCCTATGAGGAACGGCTGAAGGAGCTGGGCTTGTTCAGCCTGGAGAAGAGGAGGCTCAGGGGCGACCTTATTGCTCTCTACAGATACCTTAAAGGAGGCTGTAGTGAGGTGGGGGTTGGCCTGTTCTCCCATGTGCCTGGTGACAGCACGAGGGGGAATAGGCTAAAGTTGCACCAGGGGAGTTTTAGGTTAGATGTTAGGAAGAACTTCGTTACTGAAAGGGTTGTTAGACACTGGAACGGGCTGCCCAGGGAGGTGGTGGAGTCACCATCCCTGGAAGTCTTCAAAAGACGTTTAGATGTAGAGCTTAGGGATATGGTTTAGTGGGGACTGTTAGTGTTAGGTCAGAGGTTGGACTCGATGATCTTGAGGTCTCTTCCAACCTAGAAATTCTGTGATTCTGTGATTCTTGCAGAAGGAAAGAACAAACCACCCGCGGGTGAGCAACCCAGGCTGGGATTTTCCTGCTTTGGGAGTTTCTGCATTAAAAGCACACCCCTGCGCTGGGGCTCCTGAGGGCTCCAGGAGGGGTCTGTGTGGTGCAGCTCCTGCGCGAAGGCAAGGGGAGACCCGTGGCAGGATAATTCGTGTGTGAACTGTGCTTTTGTGTGGCCCGAGGTGTGACTGCCCATCCTCATGGGCTGCATTTACTCCTTTATGTAGTGTTTGGTGTTACGGTGTTACAACAGGCACAGCGGGCGGCTGCGAGCCCCTGTGGTGACTGACAGCCCCCCCCCCCCGCCCTGACAGGGCAGCGGCTTCGCGCCCCGGCCCGGCCCGGCCACCGTCCCGCCGTGACGTGCGCAAAGGGGGAGGGGGGGGGAGGGGCAACCACCCCTACTGCGCATGCGCACTCCGCCTCCCGCAGGCCGGCCCCGAGCGCGAGGGCTGGACCGGAAGCCGCAGCCCGCGGACAGGAAGTGACCCCTCCGCCGCCCGCCCCTCTCTTGCAGGCGTCCGCGCGGCCCTTTGTGAGTCACCTGACTGGCAGCGCCAGCAGGCCAATAGCAGCTCCCGGAGCGGGGGGGAGGAGGGGGAACGAGCCAATCAGGGCCGAGCTGCGGGCCGGCCTCGCCCCGCCTACCATGGTGGGGGGCCGCGCTGAGGAGCGAAGGCGCGCGAGGGGGGCGGGGCCGGGCACGCGCCGCGCGCGTCCCCGAGGCTCCCCGCAGCCCCTGCGGCGGCCGGGCCGGGCCCGGGGCCGGGCGGGGCGGGGAAGGGAGGGGAGGGGCGGGGCCGCGCGCTCTTAAGGTGGCGCCGGCGAGGGGCGGGGGGGCAGGAGGTGATGTGAAATAAATGGCGTGGGGACCGGGTGAGGCGTTTTGTATCTCCCCAGCTGCTGCCCCCGCTCCTGTACTTGGCTTGCAGAGGCCTTGGGGTGGGTCTTTCAGAACACCAGGTGTGGTGATGGGGTCACCATCCGTTACCTCCTGTGTTCCTGCAGCGCGTAGCTGCCTCTCAAAGCCTCTTTTTGTATTTAACAGCGTTCTCATATTGATGCCCTCTCATGTAGCAGAGTAAGTCAGTCACATCAGCTCGTTTTTGCCTATAAAAAAACCAGAATATTTCATCCATCAACTTGTGGGAGAAGGCAGTGGGCACACATAACTGGGGCATACACGTGGGGTACCTGAGATGCGTTGAGCCCAGCTGCAGCTTTCCAAGGCTCTGCAGCTGGCTGCGGGGCAAGCAGCGTGCAGGGACCACGCTCTGGTTCCCCCCGGCACGGAGATGCTCCTGTCGTGCCTCTCAGCAGGGTGGTGAGCCCCTGCACCACATGGACACAAACCCTGGCAAGAACGGGACTGGGGGACTGGTGGGAATAGCAGGGAGGAAGAAAGACCGCCAGCCCCAAAGGGAAATCCTAAGGGGAGGTAGGAAGCCAAGGGAGTAGGAGCTGAGGTGATGACTCAGGATTGGAGCAAAGTTGGGGAACAACGAGAACGGGACGGGGCTCTGCCACGGCCTGCAGAGGTGAGGGGGAAGACGTGGGTGTTGGCCCTTGGTAGTGAGAGGGAACACGGTAATGGGATCTGTAATGAGAGAATAATACGGGTAAAGGGACGGGGAATCATCCAGACAGAGAGAAGGGTAGGTAATAGCAAAGGGGGAAGAGCTCCCACCAGAGCTGCTGGCATAGAGGCAAAACAAAGGTTTGGTTTGGGAGAAGAGGGCACAAACTTCCCGACAGAGCAGACATGGGGTGTTAGTTCCTGGTACGTCCTGAAATGAAGGCACGGGAGTTTGGCACAGATTTGACCTGTTGAAGGAATGCAAAGAGTGTCTGGTAGATACAAGAAAAAACGAAGCCCTGCTAAAGTAGCAAGTCTTACAGCAGCTGCTGAGCCATCAGAACAGTTTTCACATTACAGTTTACAGAAGAAAAAAAAATAAGAAAATTTGCTCAGAAAATAAACATATTTCCCTCCCAGTGTATTCCATGTCCTGAGCTCCACGTTTCGTAGCAGCGTTACTGCTTGGAGGGGTGCAAATACGAAGCTAGCCATGGAAAGAAGAGATTGATTCAGAGACCAGGAGTCACAGATCACAGAAAATCACAGAATTTCTAGGTTGGAAGAGACCTCAAGATCATCGAGTTCAACCTCTGACCTAACACTAACAGTCCCCACTAAACCATATCCCTAAGCTCTACATCTAAACGTCTCTTAAAGACCTCCAGGGATGGTGACTCCACCACCTCCCTGGGCAGCCTGTTCCAGTGAAAGCCTTCCAGATGGGTGTCGGGGTGTTACCAGGTTTGTGCATTTCAGGTTTCCACGCAGCAGCGGCCGGCCTGCAGCACCGGCTGTAGATTCAGGGGGATCTCATGCAGCGTCTCTCCCTTCTCCCATGCGGGTTTTGGCGTATTTCATGTTACCCAAGCCACCTCAGCGGGCAGCCCCCTGTGATGTTCTAACGTTACGGGCAGCCCGTGTGCCCAGCGCCAGCCTCGCAGCGTGCCCACACGAGGCTCATCACTGGCAGCCAAGGGGGTGGAAGTGCGACAACACAGCAGGCAACTGAGGGGGGCTTTCTGTACAGATTTGGCCAGTTATAATGGGTTATAGGACTACGGGGGAAACACACCCTAAGCTTTGGGGACGCTCTTGTTGTGGTTATGGAGGAACACACGAAGGCAGATGAGCAGGGACAGGGATCAGAACCGGGCTGAGGGGAGCGGGGCAGCGCCCGGCACGGCGCCCACCCCCCGGGTAGGGCCGCGCTGAGGCGGCGGCCGCCATTTGGGAGCGGGACCGGGCGGCGGCGCCTCCTTAACCCGCGTGAGGCGGGGGCGGCCGCGGCCGGGGGGAGCCGGAGGAGGCGGAGCGGAGGCCGGGGAGGAGCCGGGGCCTGCAGCGGAGCCGCCGCCAGCAGCAGCAGCCGCGGGAGCGGCGGGGCCTGGAGGGACTCAGCGCCGCCCGCCCGGGCGCCCCCTCCCCGTCCCCCGTCCCCCCCCCGCTCCGGCACCGGGGCCCGGGGAGCCCCCGGGGGCGCAGCCGAGGCCCGGCGGACGGCGGCGGAGGCGGGCGCTGAGCCCCGAGGGCCGCCGCGGCCTCCCGCGGTAGCCGGGGCCGGGGCCTGGGGGGAAGCCGGGGCCGGAGCTGCGGGCGGCTGGGCCGGGCCGGGCCGGGCTGGGCTGGGCCGGGCTGGGCCGGGCTGGGGGGGACCCCCGCGGCCTGCCGGGGGTGGCGGGGATAGCCCCGAGCGGCCCCGCGCCCCCCCGGTGCCCGTCTGGGCGGTGAGGAGATTCCCCCCCCCCAGGCACAGGAGGCACCCCGGGTGCCCCAGGGAGGCTGTGGGCAACGCAGAAAGAAGCGGGAGCCCCGGCTGCGTGCCCAGTGGTTTTGGTTATTTATCCCTGCTCGGGAGGGAGAGCACGGGCAGGTTTAGGTGCCTCCTCTTCCCTTTTCCAGCTGCTGCCGGCCGCTGGAGGTAAAGGTGATTTGCAGTACTGACCTACCTGATCCCCCTCCGTCCCGAGGGAGATCCCGCCTTCCCTAACCCCAAGAGGGTTTTCCCCAAGTGTTCGCTGCAAGGAGAGGCAGCACACCTCCCGATTACAGGGAGGGGAAAAGGTAGAGATCCCCGATAATACCCACAGCGTTGGCAAGAATTATTTCACAGAAGGTGGTCCCACCACCCCCAAGGACAAGGTGCACCTACAGGAAAGAACAGAGAGGCTTCCAGGTAGGGAGAGCATTGGAGATCAATTTCCCCAATCTGACAGGCGGCAAGGAGAAGAAAAGGCAGCCTCCCGGGGGAACACCCCTTTGGTATTTAGCTGCCAAAAGGGAGAGAGGATCTCCATCCAGGGATAAAACCAGCAGTTTTAGGGAGGTGACAGTCCCAGGCAGATTGTTATAATACTCAAGATTCTGATTTAATCTGCAATCCCCACGCCCTCGAAATATTTCTTGAAGAAGCTCTTGGAATAACTGACAGCAACATTCTGAGGATGGGTCTCAGAGAAGTGTGAAGAGCAGCACCCCAGAAACCAGCACTGAAGATAATCCACCTCCCTCCAGAAGAATCTTCCAGTCAGAGTGAGTGACCGTGTTATATCACCTCCTATTCCTATCTGTCCTTCTCTTTTGCTTTTTATCTTTATTTTCCATGTCTCTTCTCTCACCGTATCTTCTTTCCTTTTAATCTTTTTTTTTCCTCTCCTGTTGTTTCTGAACCTTTTCCAAACCTTCCTATGGCTGTTTTTCTCCATCTCTTGTCCTTTTGCGATCTTGTACCCTATGTGTAATTGATCTGATGCCTTTCCTTGCTATTTAGTTTATTGGAGACCTTAACCCTAATTAATGGTAAGAAACCTTGCTGTCCTCTGCCTTCTATTTTATTGCACTCGTGCATTAATCCTAGGCTCAGCCTTCGTCATCTCTGGTCTGGAGTGAATTTCTTCCATTCAGGGGTCATTGAGAAGGATAATACTGGCCAAAAAGTATCGAGGAGATACAGACGGTGATTTGCAGTGCTAGTGCCCAAGGATGCCTCCATGGGGCTGGAGTGGCAGTTGTTCTCCTTGCGTGCCCTCCTGTGCAAATAACGGTGGGGATCAAATCACCGTGGGATGCAGACCTTCCTGTGCTTGGGATCTGAACGTGCAGATCCCGCGTGTCCTGCTGTACCTCGGGGCTGTGGGGTGAACGCTGGTGTGAGTGCCCTTGGGAGTGGGTTCTGTTGTGCTCAGGGGCCTAGGGATGAAAAATCACGGTAGTGCCAGTGGGACCTGCTCTGAAAGTCAGAAGGAGCCATTCTGCTGCTGCCAGTCTTGGTGTGTGTTGTACGCTGTGCTCACGTGAATGGTAACCCTGGTGCCATCGCGAGCCAAGCCGGCTGCTTTCTGTAGACGAGACGGTTAATTTCCAGCCCCAGATGACTATTCTGACAGCAACGTGATTTCCTGAGAAATCGAGTCCAAGGGAGGCTTCGTTTCAAACGAAGTCAAAGCAGATCCCTGTAGAAGAACCAATCCCACGGGTACCTCACATGAGGTACTCCTGTTTGTGTGCTCCACTGAGACAGCGGTGAGGAAATCCAAGATCAAAGGGCCCTTGACCAGGACAGGAAGCCTTGCAGCATGCATTTCACAGAACAGTGAGCAGGGAGACCCTGAAGAAAGAACGTGGCCAGTGAGATCAGACAGGGGATGATGCCTCCAGGTTCCTCCAAAACGATTCCCCATTTCTGCAGGGAATTTTGACAGTTATCCATAGCTTGAGAAGGTGCTCCTTGCTAGGGGGAGACTGAACCCAGAGGTGATGTATATTCAGAGTACTGTTAGATGCCCTCCTACCTGTTGCCCTACAGTTATGCAATCAGCCTGTTTTGAGTACAGTGTTATCTAGCGCAAGAGAAGAGATAACTGAGGCATTTTGTCCTTTGTACATTCAAGGGGGTAACTGACTTCTCATGCTCTAGAGGTTAAATTCAAGGGGGTAGCTAACTTTTCATTCTCCAGAGGCTAATTTACCTTGCTCTGCCCCCATCCTCACAGTAATGACTTGACATTTTTCAAGTGCTTTTGGCTCTGATGGATGCCAGGGCACTTTACAGAATATATATGCCAGCCATACAGAATTCTGCTTTCCTGCAATGATTATTTTTGTGTGTGTGTATATGTATATTTGTATATGTTTCCCTTGGTTATTATGATTTTTTAGTTTGTATCAGAGCTTTTTTTTTTCACAACAGACATCCAGGGCTGAAACTCATATGCTGTAGTGTAATTGTTGGCTATTTATTTGTTAATTGCTGACAGTGCATTTGGTGCTGACTCAGACACACAAAATTAAGACAATTTCTGCTCCGAAGATCTTGTAGTCTAAAATACATCTATACAAAAGCCAGGACAGACTGATAAAATCGAGGGAGGGGGTAATCTTTTGGGAGCATAGGTTTTCAGTGGTGATGTTGGTATTTTCATCAAACGTTTATCACAGACTGAAATGCAGCTTCCTCTGAGGTGGAATACTGCAGCTGTTTTGCATCATTTATTTTATTCAGAAGTATCCATGAAGGAAAAATGGAGAGTATTACCTTCATAAAAAGCGCAAGGTACTGTATAGACGCATTTGAATGGAAGCACTATGTCTTTAAACGTTTACATTAAGAATATTAAACATGAACACCTAAAATTAGACTTCTGAAACCACATTTAGGTACCTAAGTAAATAGCCTAATTTTCCTAAGTGCCCAGGAATGTAGAGTTGACTTAACAGAGGCAATGAAGTCTTCACTGTACAGAGACACTTAAACGCATGTGTATGGATTTGTAAGTTTAAATTTGGTCATTCATCATTCCCAAAGTTGACTGTTAAAGTTGAAGCAGCGTGATTCTGCCCCGTGTGTGCTCCACTCTCATCTGAGAACTTCATGTCAAGCCCTAAGGTAAAATGCAATGAGAAGGTCTGGAGAGTTATGTCAAAAGGATTAAATTACTGGAAGGTTAGGAGGTTATATTAATGTTTCAGTATGTGTTCTGTAAGTTCCTTGGATTTTTATCTTGAAATCTGGTTCTGTAGGCAAGCGTGTAGGGTAGAATAAAGAGTCAGACAGCTTCAAATGAAACAGAATAAATGATTTTTAAGGAGTTCGGATATCATTTCCCAGTCCAAGATGTGGTTGTGACTACAGTAGCACTTATTTTTTCAATAAAAATGCAGCTGAATGCTTATGTCTCTCAAGAAGGTCTTTTCTCGTCCCAGAGGTACTGGTATCTTCGCTTACTATGTCCTGCTGTAAATTTCAGCTGACCTTTGTAGTGGGAGATTCGGTCTGCATCACAGCCTGGATCTTTGGCCCTTCAAGTGTCAGAAAAGAAGTATGGTTAATGGCAACTGTGATATGGACAGCTGTCCCTCAAGAGCAGGGCTGAGATGATTATCTCATTTTACACAGCTGTCAGACAGGAATTACATCGCTGTCATTAGCAATCAGAAGATGAGATGCTTTTGGACTCGCTTTTCCATTTGCTTTCCCCAACTTTGGGATTGTAACCAGTGACTTGAGAACAGAACCCTCTGTGCACTGTGGTACTTCGTTTGCGGAAACTGTTGCCATGTGATGCTTTAATTAAATAATAATAATAATTATAATAATAAAATGTTTCTAGCACTTCCAGAAGACAACTTGGAAAGTGAGGGTAGCGCCCAGATTGACAGCCCAAAATTGTTAACTTCCAAAATGTGTGAATTCTCCAGTTGTGTCAATACAGAAGCCTAAAGAAAAGTATCTGAACCCCTGTTTTGCTGGCTGCTGTACTCATTATTTTATCAAGAATGTCCCGCTTGTGTTCAACTGCAAAATGCTTATCATTTTTATAGGATTTAACATTGATACTTGCTACCTACTGTGCTGTTGATGTGTCCTCCTTCTGAGGTGTATGTGATGAACGTAAAAATCCATGGCATACGTCTACTCTGCCCTTAGTTTTTCCATGTTTAAAGGCATCCTGTGAGCATATGTTACTGAGAGAGGGCAAGCATGCTGCAGTACGTTTTCACAATGAATGAGCTGCAAAATTTTCATTTTACCTTTGAAAAGGAACGTGCAGAATACTGGGAACGTTTCAGAATGCAGAGAACAGAGCGTAGGGCCCGTTACAGGTGTGAGCTGTGGTGCTTTGCCAATATTTGGACCAGACAGCTGTTTTATCCTCCTGTCTTTGACTGCTCCGTCCTCTACCCCATCCTAATATGACCCTTTGAGTCGGTGCCTTAAAGGCAGAAGGCGCAGATGCTGCTAGCTGTGGACCTCGTGAGCAGTTTCCTGAATCCCATCCCTGGCTTCCTATCTTCATGTCAGTCAGGCTCTTCTCCTGCACCTTTAAGGCCCAGCGTGTTTCCACCCCATCTACTTTACTTTCACTTCCTCCTACACCCCAGTACTCCTCCCAGTTCTCTCTGTACTGCTCTTTGCATCTCATTTTCCTTACTGTCCACTTGTCATTCTCTCTTGTGGCCCTAGAAGCCTGAAACACTTCTTGTCTCTTCAAAGAGAAGCATTCCCCATGTCCTTTAAAGTTTCTTTACTATCAGGAGTCCTTTCTTAACCCGTTTCACAGATCTCATTATTTCCGCACCTGTATTTCAATCTTTTTGGCTTTTGTTAGATTATATGCTTGTGGATAAAGTTTTCCTTTTTTTTTTTTTTTGCCAGAGTTTATGTCAAGAAGCACGTTTTATACAAATATAAAATAAATGAAACTTTGTTCATCTGAAAATGTCTAGGTCAACAAAGCTGGGGAATGGTACTTTGTCTCCCATGTTCCTTTCCTTCCCCTTCCTTTCTTCATGATTTTTTTCTTCAAGGTTTTATTTGGTTGGAATGAAAACCCCTTGCACTGCAATCTCTGGTTGCTCCCAGCACCTCAGGAGCTTGGTTTTGAGTTGGTGTGAACAATTTGTGCAAGGCCCAGTGCCTCATTTCTGATCCGATCTCTCAGCTGGTCGGTTTACTTGACGTGAAGTCAACAAATAAAGGCATGTGTGTTTTTGTTTGGCCTTTCTAATGTATGACAGAGACTGAGTAATGAGCGAGAGATGAGTGAGAGCTTTTATACCTGGAGGAAGAGGTATTTGCTTTTTATTCTTTACATTAGCAATTCAAATTTTGTTTATGCTCTTTGCTGTGTAAAGGCTGTGGCTGATTATGAGAAACATATACATACTGCTAAAAGTTCAAATCTGAATAACTGTGAAGGAATCTGGACTGCTTGTTGTCATCAGTTAAAGGGGCAAAGTTTCTGAATTCTCAGTTTCCCTCCAAAAAATTGAGTAAAATAATATTAAAAAAATCTCCCTCCCCATCAGTAACTTGCAGACAAAACTGGGCAAACTATTAATTCCCTTTGAAATTCCCTTTCTCTCCACCTGAGCAAAGCAGACGGGGTTTCAAGGTAGAAAGCTGGTGTGGGAGCGCTGTGTGCTCCGTGTGGCTCTGCTGCTGCTCCACTGGCTGACCTGGCGCTGCGTGCTCCTCTTTGCACAGCTTCCTAGTGACACTGGAAGAGGGAATCGCTCCTTCCAAGGGTTCC